GGCGTTTATTGAAGACGGATGACCGGACTGAGAGCCAGGTGACGGCAGAGATGCAGTTTGTTTTTAAAAGAATCGATTTGACCGAGTGGCAATTTGCTAACGCGGTCAATGCCGGCATATTCCAGGGTAAAAAAAACCAAAGGAGGGGTTTTACTGGAGATCACAAAGACTCCCTGGAGTAGAGAGCCAGTCGACGCTCATGTGATGGCAAACATATGTGGAAGCAAAGGCTTTCTTATCTGTCTGTCCAGAATTACTTAAATAGAAATTAGGACCATCAGAGATATTCTCAATGTTACATCAATGCAATTTAAATGAATACGCGCAGACCTATCTGAGACCTGTTACATCACCCTGTGGAAAAAGAATAATTAATAATTAATAAGGAATAATACTCATTCATAACAATACATTTATAACAGTTAATTTTATAGTAAGGTTAAGCACATTCCTACAAATAATATAAAATATTTTTTGTCCGTTATCCTACGGTTTAAAAACAAGAGACTTTTCTGTTTTCTGAGCTGTTTTTGATCAATTTAAGGAAGTCTTTTTTAACCCTGTCAGTTTGAAACTATTTTCAGCAAATCTTAACACCAAACATTCCATACAAAATTTTCAAATTTTTTCAATTGTTTCCCAAGAATGATAGAGCAATTGGTATTTGAAGGAACACCACATAATATATATATACATATATTCTCATATATACATATATGTGTGTGTGTGTGTGTGTGTAAATGTATATCAAAGAAAACAGTTCCCTTGCAGTGTCATACCCAGCTCTGCAGCTTCTTGGCTTTATTGGGCATTTTTACCATCTCTCAGCTCTTTCTTTTGGTTTTACAGCCTGCTGCTTTCCCACTTTGATTCCCTCTCTTGGCTCTCGTCACATTTCCAGCTGCAGCAGGGAGCTGTTTCCAGAGAAGCTCGCATAAACCTAATTGCGCTGTACCTGCCCGGCACCAGTTGGCAGCCAGCAGAAGTTGGGGACCGAACAGTGGAGCGAAACAGGGGGGAATGTTTGTGAGTTTAATGGAATGAAAATGTCAGTTCCCTCGGAGAGTAAATCCTCTGCTTTGGCCAGCGCTCCACGTCTCTGAGTTTGATAAAATATGCCGTGCTTCTATCGGGTCAAAGGTCAGCTAAACAGATCTCACCCACAAGAAAAGGTTTTAAAGCAATCCGAACGGGAGCACCTTTGCTTGTGAGTTTGAGCAGGTCTGTGGGACCCAGGACTCATTTGCTCTGCTTCCTTTTCCAGCACAATGCGCCGGCCGCCGCCGCCGCCACTGCCTCACAGAGAGGCCTCACTGTGGGATTCAAATGAGGGGGGCAGGGGGAGTGGGGCAGAGGGGCACATAGAGGGGTATGGAGCTTCAGCTCGTGGGTAGAAAAGACCAAATGAGTCAACAAAAAGGGGGATGGGGGGGGTTAAATGTGTTAGATGTTGAGGCGTAAAAAGGAAAGAGGGGGCGGGTCTCAAAGTTGGCGTGGGCCCCGACCCACGGAAGAAACGCAGCCTCGTTTGGGGGGGAGGCTGCGGCGGGGCCCGTTGGGCAGCAAAGGCCCGAGCGAGTTGTTTTAGCCCGCTCGGCATCCGGGGGGGGGGGGTTCTGTGAGTTCTGGCGGGGCAGCAGAGGTCACTCATGCATTCAGATGCAGTCAAATAGTGAGAGGAAGCGTGGCCAAAGCAGGGAAATGAGCTGGTCAGAGCCAGCCCGTGGTCACGGCTGGACATTAAAGCAGACGGCTCCCAGAAAAAGGCCGAGGGCAGCAGCGTTCACACGCCTCCTTTATCCTGAATTCAACAGGAGATGAAAACCAAAAATCAGACGTATCCTCTTTATTTTCAGAAAAGTTCCCAAAGACAGAAGCAGTTTATTGACAAGCGTGCAGCAAACATTTGCTGTCGCATAGCGCCCTCTAGTGCTCACAGACCAGACTGCTCACCTCAAACAGAGGGTCGAACCATAAACCATCCCAGACTGTTATATATACGTGCTCATCTATGGAAATCAAAGGGAAGCAAACCGCCAAATAATTTCTTATTCTTTTATGACTGTAATGTGCTGCAATGCAATGCAAACTCTATGCAAATGTGTGGCTGTCCAACGTTTTTTTTTAAATATATGTCAAAACAACTGTTGCTGTTACATCATAAATATCGGATGTGATGCTGTGCGAAAGCCAGATGTCATGCAAATCTTTCTTTAAAAAAGGGAAACTGCTTCAGAGATTTATTGAATCGTGTGCAAAGACAAATGGAAATACAGACATTGTACGGAGATTTTACATAATAAACAGAGTCTGCACAGATCTAATGAAAATAACACTTCATTCTCCAGCCCAGCCTGGACCCTCTCAGACCAGCTTTGTGTCTTTCTGGATTTTTCAGGAGTTCATTTCTGATGAGGCTTGGGCCAACAGTAGATGGTCCTGTTAGGTCAGGTCTTTGGTGGAGTTTGCCTTACTTCTCAGGTCATCGCTCTTGTTCTGCTGAGTCAGATGAAGGCTGACTTTGGTTTTCACCTGAAGAGCTCCTTTGGTCTGGTTGGGCTGAATGTTGAACCTTATAAAGCCTACTTGTCTTTATTTGGGCTTATAGGATACTCAGAGATGCTGTGGACATTAGAGTCAGAACAAATCATATGAAATCGCTTTTAAAATGGAACTTAGTTACAGGAAAAAGACTTTAAAGTTTTACGAATTATACTAGGGTGCTGTCTTTTTAAAGTTTAGTTCAGAAAACTCTTTGACTTCTGTCTGAGGACACAGAAAAAGATAAGCTGACACACTAAATGATAACGAATGGTGCTGTTAATCTAACTGGAACAAATGATAGCATCCTGACTCAAAACTGTGAAAATAAAACAGGAAATGTGGTTATTTGTTTTTTTTAAATCGGTTACCTCTTCATTTGAGGAATTTATTCCATTTTTGTCATTATAATTAGTCTTGATATTGTAGAAGTTTCATTCTATTTTTAGATTGATCACTTACTTTAAAAGTCCCAAAATAAAAGTCCCTTTTTTTTAAAAAATTATGACGAGTCATTGAAGACTCAATTAAATGATTTTGAATTGAATTGAAATTAAATAAAAAAGTTATTTTGATTTGGCCACTAGATGTCAGTAACTGATGCATAACCCAGCTTTCACACACCAGATGTTGCGATTCCAGCCTTGTTCACATCTGTATCATCCTTTAGGGAATAAATGTCCCCTCTGGAATTTAAAACTGATAGTTCCTGGTCTCTGCTGCTTTGACATTGACCGACAACAGTCTGCTGTATACGGAGGACCAAGTATAAACTAAAGACAGGAAAATGACCCGCCTACGCAGCAGTTTAAACATCCCACGACCACATCGACTGTCCCTGTGTGCAGCTCAGCCTAAAACACGACTCACAGATCGCACTGTGACGACAACCGGCTCGCCTTTTCAGTAAATGCACCAATAAAACTCATTCAGGAAACTCCAACCAGCTAAAAATAGTTTATTCACAAGGGGTTCTTGAGGTTACTCAACAGCCTGGATCACTGTGCTGGATTAGTTTGAGCTCCTAAGCCTCAGTAATGTCACCTTCCTCACATTTTCTCCAAAAATGAATGCAGCAAATTGCCTTTTTTTTCTTTTTTTTGTGTAGCACTACAGATGCAGGATGCACGTGGTGCCTTTCTCTCTGTACGTCCACATTATTAGCATTACATGTACTTTAGGACTGATGATGCGCGCACACACAGTTAGAAATGAGCCGCAGGCTGAACGGCCTGTGAGACGCCGCTCTGCTTTGTTGTGAAGGGAAAAACGGAGATTTGGTGAAAGGTCATAAAGGGAGATCTCTCCTCTCACCTTCCCCCGTTTTCCTGAGGTCGGGGATTCCCTCCATTACTTCTGCTTTCCCACGTCCTGTGGTCCAACGAGCTTCTTCCATTGCGTCTTTCTTTTCAGAACGAATTGGAAAAGGTCCTCTGTCTTTATGCTTGTGTTTAACTTGTGTTCTCCTCCAAATCCAATTTGGGAGTGAACTGGGCTTGTTTTTCCAGAGGCACAGGCAGACATTATAACAAAGGAAATGACAACAAAATATCTTAATTTGTATTTATCAATTAATAAGTTACCTTTCTCCCAGATTAAAGGAACAATGTGCTGAGCATGTGCAAAGAAATGAGAGGAAAGAAACAGCCACATGAACATGAGCAGAAGGATGCCGACTTGCTCTGGCTTTCATTTGAAAAAGAGTTCGATACCGTGGATTCTCTGGAAAGGCTGCTGAGATTAAACCTCGAAACATGAGCCTTCTAACCGGATGAGCGGAAGTACCGACTAAAAGACAATTAAAAGCTCGCTTTTGGCGGAGCGAAAAGGCAGCATTAAGTGCGAACATCTGTCCGAAAAACAAAAATCACACCGAGACAGACGTAAAAACCAATGGATCCCTTTATGGTGTCGGGGTGTGGTGAGCTGCACACCCGGCGGAGTCAAACATAAAGCAGGTTCTGTACCGAAGCGTCTACAGTGCTGAGATTAAAACTGATTTACAATGAGTGGCACTGCCCGTTTCAATCACAGCATTTACCAACAACAACAACAACAACAAAACAAAAACCCAAAACACTTGAACAGAGTTTGAGCAGCCGGACGCCAGCTGGCGGTTCCCTCGGACGCGATCCCAAAAAATGGCCGTCGGCTTGCTCCCTGGCGTCCTGGCGGACCCGGCGGCGGCGGCGGCCGGCTGTGTTGCTTTAGTTTAGCGTGTGGTGAGGGACGACATCAAAATGGCCCTGATGGAAAAATACTGCTGTCCTCAAGTTTAAAACTGTTCGAAAATATGGAGACGTTGAAAACCTCTCAAACACAGTGGTCAGTCTGGAGAGGTCCGCTCTGGGACACGGGACAGAGGGAGAACAAACAGATGTGGTCGTACCTCTGTCGGACAGCTGACACAGGCAGGTCGGCTGTGTGTGTGAGTGAGTGTGTGTGTGTGTGTGTGAGTGTGAGTGTGTGTGTGTGTGTGTAGGGGGGGGGGGCTGCTTGAGATGAAGGGTACGGTTGATTCGCTGTTGTGTGTCGCTCTCGCCCGCGTCTCTCGTCCCTCTTCCTCTAAAACAGCTGGATCATGGACTCCCGAGATTTTCCCACTCCGATCCATTTAACTGTGGGGACAGAGAGCAGGAATTTGTTTCTCATTTAAAAAAAAGTTGGGATAGCGTTAGGAAAACGGGTTTTCCTTTAACGTGTCACATGACCGGAGCCGTTCTCTCTGATGGAAGTGAGAAACACGTGTTAGTGAAGCTAAATGTCCTCCAGCTGCTTCAGTAACCTCTTGTGTTTTCCTCCTTATTTGGACCACGTTGGTGCAGTGAGAGCAAATTATGTAAACGATGACGATGAAATAAAAACATGAGGTGCAATCTAAGCTTGGAATAAGTCTCCAAAACTCTTCAGTGGGAGTAAATGTGCCGGCACCTGGACAGAACGGGCCCAGTTTCAAAGTAAAAAGGTAGGTGACTGACACAAGAGCAATAACAGGCTTTTGCTGCCTTCACGCCAGAAGTTTAAAATCAGTCATTGTGTCTGTGTGTGTGTGTGTGTGTATGAGTGTGTCTGTGTGTGTGTGTGTGTTAGGCGTACCAGGCACCCCTACATGCTCCTCAATGAAGTGAACGTATTTCTGAGCGTTCTCAGGCAGTTCCTCGAAGCTCCTGGCTGCCGAGGTGTCACTGTTCCAGCCGGGCAGCGTCTCATAGTCCACCTCGATGCGCTGCAACAGCTCCTGATTGGCTGGCAAAAATCAACGAAGACAACATGAGACCACACAGATCAAAATAATCTCCGCTACGAAGACATGTTTAGATGAAACGGGCTTTAGAGACGTGGACTGACTGGGTTCCCTGCCTCTCCCATCCACGGCTGGAAGCTTTAACGGCAGCATTCGTAAAGACTCACCTGGAAAGTGAGGTATAGTCTGGTTGTCCACTTTGTATGCTACACCCACTTTGATCTCTGGGAACACGTCAAGTATGTCGAGTTTTGTGAGGGCTAAACTGAAAGGAGAAAAAAAAAGAGAGACAAATTTACAAAAATACAAGAAAGTAAAGTAAGCTATAAATAAATAGAAAAAAAAAAAATGTTTTAAAAGAATTTTAAAAAAAAGCAGAAATCAGTTTTTATTAATTTCTAAATCAAAAGTACACAAGGAAGCCAAAAGAATAAATGTATTGATGGAAGAAAAAACGTACGCGGTGAAGCCATTGATCATGTGTGCATATTTGATGAGCACCAGATCCAGCCAACCGCATCGCCGTTTCCTGCCTGTGGTCACACCCACCTCCTTCCCTCGAGTCTGGAGCAGCTCTCCGATCTCCTAAAGACGACACGTTGGGATCAGTCCACTGAATCGGACACGTGAGGAGAGCGGCCGTTGGACCATGCAGACCGGCATTGCCGGGTGCAACGCCAGCCGCCGTCCTCCAGGTGGTGCTGTTTCACCACAGACTGACAAACTTTGCAGATTCCTGACTAAAAATGTTGACTTTATCCCGAGTTTCTGTTCTCTTCCTCCAGTTTACCCTGACACACAAACGCCTCAAAAGAGACAGCCTGTTCCTGTCTAAGGCCTGAGGCATGTTTTTGAGTGTCCTCTTACGTTGCTCTGCTCCGAGGGGAAGGCGCCGATGCCCACTCTGGTGGTGTAAGCCTTAACCACCCCGTAGACCTCGCCCACGTTCTGAGGGGGCATGCCGAGGCCCGTGCACACCCCGCCCACCGTGCAGTTGGACGACGTCACGAACGGATACGTCCCTGCAACGAAATGAGCGGTGAGCAACAATACCTCCCCTAAAAAAAGTATGATCTGGACGCTGTCTCACAAACTCAAGTGAATCGGCCGTGTCGTAAAAATGATAAGCCGAGATAAAACAAACGGGGGCAGATGTTGTCTGATCCAGATGCAGGAGGCGGCTTTCGTGGGGAACAGCTCTGATGTGTGCTGGTCTGCTCTGAGGAGTCCTCTGACACCATACATTCTCCCACACGCCCAACAAACCCCGAGAAGACGGTTGTGAGAGTCAAAATGCCGAGGCAAATCTAAACCTTTTTTATAATTAACATCATTAAGACGTTTCCTAATCAAGTATAGATGCGTTAGTCGGAAAGAGAGAATGTGTGGCCGTCAGAGCACGGGACATCATGCCCAGCAGATCTGAGGTCAGATCATTATCATTATTATTATTATGTGGGGAATAAAAAAAGAAATGAACAGCTGTCATCCTGGTGCTCATGCACAGTCCGGTGACACTGAGTGCTTTCAAACCGGACACATCCCAAACTTACCGTTCCCTCTAAGTCTGACCTCCGAGCAGGCTTTCGTGAAGAGTATTGCAAACTTAAAAATATCCAAAAGTCACTGCACAGTCGCAGACCCTTGAGTTCAGGCCCACATTTAAAGAAGCAGAGTAAGAGCTGCGACCCACTGACCGAAGTCTATGTCCAGCAGTGCGGCGTTGGCACCCTCCACCAGGATTTTCTTGGGGGGGCCGTGAAGGGCCTCGTACATGTAGTGCACCCCGTCCCTGACCATGGGCTTGATCCGCTCCACATAGTCCTACAACCCAGAAATTCGTCGTGTTAAAAACCAAACCCACATTTACATCCGCAAAGACGTCCTTTTTACATCGAATAACTGAAATGTCTACCTTTAATTTCAGCAGCTCTCCCTCTATGTCGATCTCCAGTGTTGGGTACATGGACTTGTACTGCCGAGCCAACACTTTATACCTGCGGTGTTCAGCAGAGGGTCAGCTTTGGTCCGTACCTCACATTATATGATACAAGTCTTTTTTTTTTTAGGATAAACCATAGAACTGTCTATTTTTTATGTGATATCTAACATCTGAGATGGGGTAACGACCTGTCCGGGGTGCCTCTCGCCCACGGACAGCTGAAGTCAGTGGGAAAAGATTGGGGGGATAAGCAGTATTTTCCCCTCAATAACTATGACCGTAAAATTCTGCCTGCGCGTCTGAAAAGTCCTGAAATGAACTGATCGATAGCCCATTTCTTGATTAGGGTTGCATCGGCTGACAGTGAGCTCGCAAAGCTGGTTTCAGACGGACCACTTATCAAATATTCAGATCAAGTATTTGGCTTCCTGCCCATGTCCCTGGAAGGATTCTAGTGAACACTTTCTGGGCCCTTTGGTTGCAGATCTCGTTAACGATGCCGTGCGGCCAACAGACCTTTCAGAGAACTGGGTGAAGTCTGCCAGCAAGTCGCATATCCTGAGACCGCTCCGGGCTGCTTTGGCGGAGTAGACCGGACCGATCCCCTTCTTTGTGGTTCCAAGGCTGGACGGGGCCGAGACAAGAGAGGACGAACAAACAAACAAACAAACAGAAAATACATTAACGTGACCCAAGTCACCTTTTTTAAAGGTTCAAAGTTCACAACATTCACACAGCTCCCTCTAAATTTTTTACACCACCTGACCCCGGAGGGTTGTGGCTGTAGGGAAATCCCTGAGTCTGATGGGATCAGCAGTTCATATGACTGCTCATGAGCCTCTGGGAATAAGCAAAAACCTCCAGACGACACACCACACAATACATCGGCTGCGGCCCTTTTTGTCCTGCTGAAATAGCTATAAGCTGGGGGGGGGGGTGGAAACTATCTGAATACCCCCCCACATCAGTGTTACTTTCTGAGCAGAGGCGGCGCCCACTAAAAACTCGACAGATCCGGACTCGGCAATCTGAACTTACTCGTTTCCATTTGAGAGCATGCCAACATCAGATTACTCCGTCTATTAAAAGGAAGGCTTGGCCAAGCAGAACTGACCAACCCTCTGTGCAAACTACAGAACAGAAATAGATCCTCGGCGGTTATTGAGCTGCACTGATGGCAGCCGCTCAGAATGAAAGGAGCAGGTCGCCATGTGAGCAAAGCGCACGGCCGTAAAGCCGGCGCGTTTTCACCGGTTCAGCCTTTGGTCTGTTTAAAAGAAGGAAAACGAGGCCGTGTGCCTTTTAAAATGTGACCGACTGAATGCAAAAAACTACCAAAAGGTTCAAGGCTCATAAGCGTACACAGGTGAACACATTTGAAAACTAAAAAAGACGACTCAGAAGAACAAATAAAGAGCGTCTCAATTCTGGAGTTTCTATGAGATATTCCACACAAACACACTTCAGACTGATTTGAAAGTTTCTTGTGTGGACACTTATGATTCATACCTATAGAAATTAAACTAAATTAAACTGACAGTACAGAATAAAAGAACTGATCTGATCTGGTTGTACGGTGTGTTCTCTTTATGCCCAAAGACTGTGGGTGTATCACGACGTGCTTTTTCTGATGCCTTTAGCTAATGGAAATCCACGAGGCCGGCCAATCAGCAATCTGCTGAAAGCCTTTAATGACTCTGCCACCGAGGCGCCCCGGCGGACACCTCTTCTCTCTCTCTCTCTGTCACACACCCTCGCTGGGAGATTAGGCGTTTGGCTGCCGAGCGGCTTCCTCCTCAGGCATGCCAAAACATTCCTCAAAAAGTTTTAGGTATTTTACCACAAGTGATAAGAACAAATGACTAACACTAAGTACTGTGGTGTAAAGTAGAGCCGATAATGAAAATGTTTTATGAACATGAATATTTAGGTTTTTGCTCAATCTTAAAAAAATGTGTCCAAATCAAATCCAAACTATGCATCTGTTTCTAATCGGTTTTAGTTTCCTGCAACTCCATGACAACCACCTACATTTACAGCCCCTAAACACATCATGAAGTTCAACAGGCAGAATCTAACACCGTTTTCACACGTGGACAGTGAAAAATATTCCAAAGATGTTTTAAAAGGATGGAAAGTGAGGCGCTTCTCACCTAAAAGACAGTCAACTAAGAAGGAATGAAAGAGGACAGGAGCCAAGAGATTCATGTGCAGTTTTACTACTGAGTCACCAGAGGAAGCAACAATGCTTCTTTCCTCTGCTTCCAGGTTGTCGAATACGATCAAATAAATCCGTGTGGATGCAGCGTTAGCGCATTATAGAACAGGATTCAACTTTTTGCTGTGACCGGATAATTAATTTGTAGACCATAAAGTCTATCTGCGTTCATGTGTGAAACCTGCTTAAAGCTCTTGTTTGACCTGAGATATGTAAAGTATGCTGCAGGTGTCATTCGTAGAACGACCTTAAAAATTCTCCACAAAGAGTTATTTGTACATTCCTAAGAAATTCAGCCGGACCGCGACGCCCTCGTAACATCGGCCATTTCTCAGTAATGTTACGACATGACCCTAAACGTCTCCCTTGCCTGACTTGACATGCTCCGTCACATGTGGTTTTCTTTTACGCACTCTGATCGAGCACTCCTCCATATAAATGAAGGGAGCCCAATAAAATGCTGGGCCTGTTCTGATTACAGATTTCACGCAAAGGACAATAACAATAATTATATGTGCGCTGAAGCAGTCGGGATCTTTTTAACAGACACACAAAACAAAAAATGAAACCCAGTTTTTCCCACAATTGCTTTTATATGAGTAAGAAGAAGGCGAGACAGAGCCAACAGCAAGGCATTCCTGGCTGTCAGAGATAAATAACTGCCATTTGGCACGCCACTCTGCAGACTTTTAACGCAACCGGAACAACACCTAATACTAATCTACTCCATTTCAGCTCCGTGTTAAGAAATAACTCAAGTCAGGACGTGTAGGCACAGTTTGTCCCTGTCCTCCGGTTTGCAACCCCCTCACAGCAGCTCAATTGGTGCACGATGCGGAACATGTGACAGCGGTGAGCTTTGTGACATCAGGAAAAAAAATCTTCTAGTGGGTCCCGAGGCCTTCCCGAAAGTCACAGAATGACTGGCTGCAAACGGGAACGCAGCGTCACCAGTCAGACGGATTCATGGCAGAGCTCCGGGCAGAGCCCAGAGCCGGCAGGACATCTGGTTCCACGCTTGTGAACACGCTGTGTGTGTGTTTTGTTTCTGTGTTGTGTGAGGGTGTGCGTGTTGCGGCCGTCGTTAAGCAGCAGGTTCCTTACTTCTTGCCTGCTTGCTCTTGCCTCTGCTGTTCCTGAACGCCATCAACCGCTTGGTGGAAGTCAAACACTGCGGAGGAGGCAGAGAGGGGACACACACTCTCACACACCTCAGAGAAGGCAGGGCTCCAAACACGCACGCGCACTTTTCTTCGTGCAAACGTCCACACACACAGATTAAAATAAGGGTCCAGGATCAGACCCGGGAGGGCTTACCAATGTGTGCTCTGTCTGAGATGACCAGCCTTTTCTCCCAGTCTTTCAGGCCTGGAAACATAGATAGACGATTAGTCTCCGCCACGTTCAGGGAGGCCGTGCTGTTCGGCTTTTTCCTCAATTTTTAAAAAGAAAAGAAAAGGAAAAGAAAGTGCACTTCTCACCATTTCCTTTGCGCTCGTTTTTTTCAGCCTCTTCAAAAAGGCCTGGAAGATGGATCACGACACCATTTCCTGCAGCAAAGAAGAAGTTCCACATTCAAGTTTGCAGCCTCGTGTAAAACAGAATTATAGCTTGTTTCATTTAGGGTCTACAAAGTTAACTTAGAGATTTTGGCCTATGGACTTTTAAGGCTAGCCAGAGATAAATAGAAGAATGATTTAAAAGATGGATTCATTTGCTAATCTAAGTGGAACAAGCCTTAGTGGTGACACATGCTTTTCAATAACAAAGACTTTGAGGGGTACAAGGTGGGGAAGGAGTTTTGGATGCCTGTTCGCAGAATCCCATCAGGCTCCGTTACTGGGGGCAGACGGGGGCTGAGCAGCTCTGAGGATCCATATCCAGGCCAATCCAGGCTTATTTTTGATGAATCACCGTGAGCTGCTGGTGTCACAGAGCTGCGCGTTTACCACCAGCAGCCCCAACAGCAGGAGGGAGTGTGGCTCTGCATCCGGGTGAAAATGCCAGCGCGGGCAGGACAGCCAGACACCAGCAAGTTCAGAGGAGGGACTGTACCTGCAGCTGCTGCTTTTTAAATGGAAAACACTGCCAGCAGAACTCTCAGCGATGGGGCCGAGACACTCAAAATGAGAAAAGGAAAAGACGAGAGTTTCCAGATGTATTGGATTTTATGCTGCTATGCTTATTTTACTTAAATGTGACCTTATTAGTGGGAGGCACGGTGGTGTGGTGGTTAGCACCATCACCTCATAGCAAGAGGGTTCTGGGTTTGAGCCCAGGGAGAACCGGGACCCTTCCGTGTGGAGTCTGCATGTTCTCCCTGTCTCTGTGTGGGTTCTCTCCGGGTTCTCCGGCTTCCACCCACCGTACAAAAACCTGCATGTTAGGCCCTTAGGAGTGAGTGTAAGTGGTTGTTTGTCCTTGTGTGGCCCTGTGATGGACGGACCTCTCGCCCATTGACCACTGGGATAGGCTCCAGTTCCCCCCGTGACCCCATTAGGGAACAAACAGTTACGATAATGGATGGATGGATAATAGATGTAACCTTATTATGAAACTTGAGCTGTTACATGCAGGCGTCCTCTTTTCCTCAGAATAATGAGAACTATGAAGGAACTGCTTTTACAGATGATCTTGTGAATCTAAAGCTCCAAACTCGGTATTCAGAGAAACGGCAGACCCGCTGCAGGACTACTCGATCAGACCTCTGAACTGACTGAGGTCTGAGTCTGTCACCGCCAGCCTGACTGTGGTGCAACAGTCTGCTGTCAGCTCTCACGAGCCTTCCGACAGCTGGCTCTAATCATCTTTTAACTGAGCGACATTAGGTGGAGAAAGTAGGGTAATTACTTTGACTAAATGAAATGCATGAAATGAAGAACCGACCGCCGGCGTGTCAGGGTAAACGTGTTTATCGACTATTTCAGGTTACAAAAGCAACATTTGTAGCTGCACGAGAAGCCTGGATTCAGCTCGCAAACTGGCCAAAAGGAGCGAAAACATACAGCCTAAAAATTTGGTATATTCAGGTCATCGACAGTCACAAAACCACAGCACCTGTGTGACTGGGGTCAACTCGGATTTCAGTCAATGCATCTAATGATGATATTAGATTATTAACATTCTATGAACATATTCTAAACATTATTTCCAGTCTAAGACCAACAAAAATGGGGACAGGGAAGGGTAGGGCTCAGTTTACAAGGGGTTAAAAATCTGTTTTCCACATGTTAATTGATGAGCTTCAACACGATGGATGGGCAGGAAACCTGTAATACCCCATCCGTCAGGAAGGACGCACTGTGCTTTCTAAGGGGAACTCTGCGGAATATTTTGGTAGCGGGGAAAAACGTTGAAGAACCTGGAACACTTACCTCATCTAAAGTCAAGAACTAATTAAAAAAGCAGGTCAGACGGGACAAACGTGTGCTTTAGTGTCACTGCCACAGAACTTTATGTTACTAAATGCTGCCGACTTGTAAACATGACTTTTAGAGCCTCAATGGTCCAAACAAGAGCCATAAAGAAAGGGGCGATTACACTGTGGGGGGGGCTATAGTCTATTTTCCAGTTAACTGGCCACATGTCTTCTATTTGTTTTTCATTAAAACTGTTAGAAATATAGTGCATTGAGCACACAAACTGGTCATAAAAAGAGATCCTGAACCGAAAAAGAAGCTTGGTCAGGACTCCAGGTTGTTAGCAGCTTTAGAAGGACATCGAATCCCCCGTGCATCATAATCGTATCGAGAAGCCTGACTGAGACTAGGCCACTGTCCACAGTGAAACGTCACCACGTGTGAAGATTTGTGTTTTCAAAGCAGTATCTGGATCTGAGATGTTGTGAATACAATCAGCGGATCTGCGTCACCTTGTGACTCAGCGAGTCGTTTGGGATTTGAGCATAGTATTGTTTCTAGTCAGCACAACAATACATTTTTAAAAAACAGGTGGGGAAATATTTGACTGTAGAGAAATTCACCACAAACCACAACGCTACAATCTCTCATCCCCATGTCTTTTTTGGAAACCAGAAACCCTTTTATTCAGCAGATAACAGACGGCCAACTGTCACGGAGTGTAAACTTTCCGTGCTGTCATTAATATGGATGGGTGGGGCAGCTGGAAAATAAAACGTGACCCCGTTCAAACCACACTGGAAACCTTAGCGAGCACTTCAGCCTGCGGCGCAGCGCGGACGCGTCACGCATTTTTTTAAAAAAAGAAATGGAGGGATGAGATTACTGCGGCACCGACAGCTGAAAGTTGCGCGGAGGAGCGGAGGCCTCCTAGAAAGAGGTGGCCTCCATTAGCTAATGAAGTTACTGCAGATGAGTGGATGGGCTGCGGCCTGCCGACTGGCCCTGAGTCAGCCCGTCCTGCTCCGTCCACCGAGAAAAGGGCAAGATAGAGACAGAGAACGAGACAGAGGGAGAGAGAGGGAGAGAGAGCCCTCGTGCCTACGTGTGGGAGAAGATTGCATAATAGTGAGGGTGTGCTGTTGTGTGCTACACACCGATGAAGGCAGTGACCTTGGGGTTGATGATGCCGCTGGGTAGGAGGTGGAAGTCGTACTCCACCGAGTCCACCACCACCGTGTGCCCTGCGTTGTTGCCGCCCTGCAGAGAAGGAACCAGGCTGGTGAGGGGGAGACAGACAGAGGCCCCGGCCACCGGGACAGGCTGAGCCGTTTGGCCGGGTGGCGGCCAGCGTGGGACACAAAGCGCCGGCCCGGTGGTGTGTGTGTGCGTTGCTACGAGGCTCCCGCTCGGGCCGTGTGCTCTGGGATCTTGCATAAACATCTCACACCAATGTAAGCTTACTGACAACTGGGAGCGAGTTCAAATAATGCCGGGATAAGGATCCAAACATCTGAAAAAGTCTTTCCAAACAAAGCCCCCCCCCCGCCCCGGCCCTCTGACAGGCCTTAGCAGGAACGCTGCTCCCAGTGCACGCATGAAAGAAGACAATTCAAAAGAAAGAGTTCCTCAGAAGCCGGGACATCGCATAGCTTTCTGATAACAGATAGATAGACGATAGGATGGGGCGGTCTGTTGACGGCAGTGGATCCGGTTTACATCCGCCTTCATATGCTCTCTGCTTTGCTTGTGTTGAACTATTTGTTCTGCGAAGTTGAAACTTTTTTGGCATGGCTGTGTTCCCCTCCCAGCATCTAGCCCGAGGACGCGTGAGGACTGAACTACATTTTTACTTTTCCATGAGTACCCCAAAGCCAACGCTTTCTCAGCAGACTGACCGAGGAGAGCTAAACTTTTCTCTGGCAACAACAAAAAAGGTAAAGGTCATTAACGGCCCTTTTCACAATCATCTACTTAAAGCTTCCCAGAAGCAGTGTGGTGCTAATCCTCTTTCGCTGCCCTGGACCATAACCCCACAGGGGAAAGGACAAAAAGTGGAAAATAAAAGGGAGAAATTCAGATTTCTGAATTTTGCTCCTCCCCGCCTCCACGTTTTACAGTCAGAACTTCAACCCCGGTGGTGAAACGAGCCACGGGTCAGCATAAAAAAGCAGAGACAACTGTTTTAACGATTCTCCTCTCTGCTTTGATAAGGAAATAAATAACTAGGGATCCATTCTTGCCCCTGCAGCTTGTGTCATGTCTTTCTTTGTCCATCCCGTGACCGGGAGGAGCTCCGCCCTCTGTACCTCGTGGATGTAAATCAAAGTTAGCATGTGCTCTGACCACATGGAAGTATTCCTGGCCACGGCGGTTCCCTTAAGGTGGTGAGGGGTGACACGGGGGGGGGGGGGGGGGGGGGGGGGGGGGGGGGGGTTCGTTTGTGGGGTGGGGGGGGTGTGGGGGGGGGGGGGGGGGGGGGGTTGTCTCTCCTTTTTGGATACTTCTTTTACAATCCACCCCCATTCTTCCTTTTTTCAAACATAAAAAAAGGAAGAACTTCTTTTTTTGCACACTAAAGCAAGAACTCATCTCAACTCCTGTATGTACAACATTTCCTCCGAACACAGATCCTCACACCCCCCCCCCCCGTAACACGAGTCCCGTTTCAAATGTCACAGTAAAACTGGAAACCAGATTCACCGACGTCATCACACCTCTGTTTTTAGAGGTTCCCCACCTCCGGCCTCAACACGGGGGTCTGGCACCGCGCCCCCCGGGGGGTTTTAGATGCTTCCCCGCTTCAGAGCCCCATTCAAATTCAGTAGAGCTCTTTGCTAAGTTGTGCGACACTATTCCAGTGATGCACGGCTTTGAATCGGTGCTGCTGTAGCAGGTAAACATCTGGAATGTGCCCACCAGCAGACCTCCAGGACCGGAGTTTCAGATCCCTGCTGCCAACGCTTTAGTGGGGAACAAATCAATATCGTTGTTTTTCCATGTATTTAATAGTAATTAGTGAAATGTTTCGTGTCTTAACGGGGTGTGTGAGCATCAGTGTTGTATCTCTAAATTACAAAAGACCGTTCCGTGTTTGTTCAGCCAGGTTTTATCCTGTCACTACCAAAAACCTGTTTCCTCTATAAATCTCCGCTCTTGCACAAACTCGACATAAGCAGACTAAAAACATTCTAAAAAGCGGCAGGTGTGTTTCTGAGGGGGAAGTGTGTGTGCACTATCATTCTGAATCTTCTACCTTGGAAAAGAGGAACTTGTTTTGTTCAGCTTTGGTTTCATTCTGGTGCGATTATCATTCGGATTTCAACTAATAAGAGAACAAACGCAGAGCTTTGGGCGGGAAGGACGTCATGACGAGCGCTTGGCCTTTTCAAGCAGACTTTGACATTCAGCTGCAGCTGTGATCTTTCCCGGCTGCACACGCAGACTGCCTTCTGAAGAGAGGGGAGAGGGTTCCTCATTTCGACTACGGGAGCTCTGTAAGCTGTTGAGCAACATGGTCGGTCTAAACTTTAGTCTTTGTGAAATAAATCATTCAAAGTTCAAACAATAAGAGTTTATGGGCAGGGTTGTGATTAGACTTAGATATTTGTCTACTTTTATGAAACAAAAAAATCTACGTTTGTTTAAAAAGGTGCAGCATCTGAGCCGATTGGTCACATGTAAAGGAGGTCTGTGAATCAGAAAACAACCTCTTTCTGCAGCTTGGCTTTGTAGGAACACGCGTGTACATATTTCTAATGGGTTGGGTTTGGTTTCAGTACACAACTGTTAGCCTATCGTACGGTCTAACGTACACAATCTCTGTTTAACAAAAAGTCAAGTGAAAAGGCTGACAGGGCGACCGTTCCGTTTCCCAAACCAAGCCTTGTTTTTTTAAGCAACCGTTTCCATAGCAACAAAGTCCTGAGCATTAATGGTGTGTGCGGTGTAGGTCGCTGCATCTCAAACTGCACACAGACCACAGCGAATACAGTGACCTCGGGCAGGGCACCCAGATCTACAGCATGATCACGACTCAGGCTATCTGGATTCAAATTAGACCCATTCCGCCCCCTGAACCAGTCCTTAAGCTATTCTGTCTATTTTCTGTGTCTAATTTCCCAAGGCAATGCATCTTAACACGCTAAAGCCCAAGTTTGTCTCGGACGAAGGTGTGAGCAGTGCCCGCACATGATCCTTAAAAACAGATACCTGCAATTAATATCCGGGGATGTGTTTTTTTTTACACCCTCATCCACACACTGCTCCCGTCACAGAGGCCCGGACTGAAAGGAACACCGAGCAAACTGCTGAAAATGCTGTTTTATAAAAAGATCAGCGCTATCTACGCGGCCTCTTTCGCTGCACGCTCGCATATCAGCGAGCCCACAATAAACCTGGACGCGCCTGTGAGGACGGACGGGGCCGACAGTGTGCAGGCCGGAGTTTTGGCAGCCCAGCGCGAGCAGGGAGGCTCCAACGCTCTGGAGAGCCCTTCTTATCAACAGAGAGAACTAACGGCGCTGTGAGACCCGCGGTTATTCTGAGCCGTCGGAAGATCAACGATGACGATTTATTAATGAGGACGGGGGGACGTGGTGAATGTTACCAACAGGAATCAGCTTTTATCTGTTCTGTCCTGGCGATACAGTGACACAATACGTTAAACCCAAAACATACAAATGATCGGTTAGTGTTCCTGACAAAAGCATTTCAGGCTTCAGAACGTGTGGCAAGAGGAGCAGCAAAAATCAACAAATACCACCTGCATGACACCGACAGGTGAACAAACCTCAGCCGAGGCGTCTCCCAACGAAGCGTTGGCAGGAACTTCACTTGTTCAATACACAAGGTTAAAAGTTGAATGACAGCAGTGTGCAGAGAGACCGAGCACGACTCAATACAGGTTGGCCAGACCGCAGGTCTCATCTTTGATGAGACACGTGGCTCCGAGCCATCGCAGCTGAGGCTCTCCAAACATTTCAGCCTGCAGCTCGCACCTCCCTGTGCGGCTTTGACTCCCTCAGGCAAGGCACATTTATTTATACAGCACAATTCAATAACAAGGTGATTCAAAGTGTCACACATACCCTTTTTACAGTCCGGCACACGGATCAGACAACTAAAGTCCAGAAAGACAGCCCCTGGTGCATCAGTACCAGAGAAATTCTTCACCGGTCATGCAGACGGAGAATAAGTAAAGGAGTTTTGTGGATTTTGCCAGAATTTCAACATATAACAGACACTTTTACTATTGAAGGTAAATTTAAAAAAGCAAAAGTTATCCGCACAATCACATCCTCACCTTTATACCCAACATGTGCTGGAAGTATAAGCATCATCTTATAATTATCTCTATACTTTTACACGGTCATATCCACTCCTCATATCCAGACATGATTCTGACTTTTCGAAGAAAGCTTCTTCTGTTTCCACGTTGGGACCCTGTAGTCTTTGCTCTGCAGCCTTTCCCAGCCTGTCTGAGCAGATAAAGTGGTTTATATTTGGCACGTGTAGGGTGAATGGACAGATATCTCCCAGAAAAGCCTGAAGGACATCAGGACAAACTAAACTACTCGGATTTAACGGCATGTCAAAGGTGACAAAAGCCCCACGGCCGTGCGACCTATATGTGTTTTCCCACAACATTTTGAATCAAATCTTCTGGAAAAACATTATCGTGTCCAGCCGCAGATAGGCAGCATTTGCAACAGGTCTCCTTTTTTCCAATAACAAACATGCCGGAAAGATGACGCTCATACTGCACATGCTCAGTTCTCAGCTCTCCCTGTCAGAGAAAAACATGGCTGCTCGTTTTTTACAAAAAAAAAAAACGTTTGCAGAATTTAAGCGAGTTAGTGGAAGGACAGCAAATGATTATCATCTTCAATGAAAAGGTTTCAACTAAGATATTTACAAGCCATGAAATAATCAGCGTGATGTTAACATTAGGCCTGAAAGAGAGCTTCCTGACACTTCGGTGTACTTGGTATGTTAAAAAGGGAACATTCACCAAGAAAAGGCAGAAAACATATTGGGGTCTAGATTATTTGTCATATTTTACAGAGTCAAATAAAGATGGCAGTACCTAAGAAAGATGCTTGTATTTTTTACATCATTAATGTTACCAAAACTGAATGTCTTTGCATCACTCAGGGGGAAGAAATTCATGTGAACCGCACACAGTCACATGTCTAACGACATCTCCTAAATAGGAGCGTAAGATTGTGAAACAATCTGGATCATTTCCCAATTCTTACTGTAATATACGGCAGTTACACATTGCAACCATCACCGCTCTGTTTAGCAGCTGTCCAAAAGGCTGGGAGAGATCAAACGTAAAATAATATTTCATTTGTATGTGTAATCATTGGACAGAAAGCCAGTTAATGTACGAAGCTTGGTTGGTGCGAATAAAACTCTTTGGCAAACAGGTGCTGTATGAGTCACCTCCAAACCAAAGTTTAACATGTGGTCACACATTTTATAACTATAATGTGTGGGATTTGTGGCCCATCAGTTTTTTATTATATATATATATATTTCATGTCAAATGTTTTTCAAAGCTTTGGATTACAGGCTGTGCTGTGAGTAAGAGATGGGAACACTATGGAGCCGCATTTTGCCACTATGAATAAACCATATTAACCCAAGGGTGGTAAAACATTTACTAAAATGTTACTAAAATACTTATCCCACAATGATTTCATACCACACAGGGAGCAGCAGCAAAGTCAACTGACGACGTCGACCGTTTGGTTTAATGGAGACTCAAAAAGCCCACTCCGAGCAGATGCACCTGACCACTGTTTACCTTCAGCTATCACCTCCTGTTCACACGACAGCAGACACTCATCACAGCTTTACAGGTGTCCCCAGACCTAAGCAGCTAGCAGATATTCAAGGTGACTTTAGCAAAACACAAAGCGGTGCTGCCGAAGAAGAACACTCGCTACAAACTGGTCGCTATCTGAAAATGAAGCTATGCTGCATTCACGACGCGTCCGCAGAATGGGGAACTAGAATTTAACACCTTTTCCGAGTTTGAGAGCGGTCGGTATTGCCCACTGAGTTCGCACATGCGGGTTTCCACCAATCGCGAATATACATCTGCCATCATTTCGTCGAGACGTGCGGCGTTGTTTCGCCAAAGGGGCATTGTTGCTGTCAGAAACTCCCACACTCTGAGGCCCAAACTGTCAAAAACGTTTTTCCGCTTGGCTGCGGAGCAATTAAAGAGCGTGACTTGAATGCAGCATGACACCCGGGAGATGTTTAGCACCTAGCTTGCGACGGTTACCTCGGCATTTCCGGTCGTTTTAACCTGGTAACGGACGCGTAACAACTCGATAGTGATGCGTGGGGAGGGTGGTGGGATGCGGGGGTGGGGGTTACATACCTGACATCTGCACACCATGTCCGCGTCCTGTGCCAACAGATCTACAACTTTCCCTTTCCCCTCGTCACCCCACTGAGCCCCGAGCACCACGGTCACTTTGTTTCCGACGGACGGTCTGCGGGCCCGCTTGGTCGGGCTGTCGCCGCCGTTCGAGGCCCCGGCGGCGGCCCCGGTGGCGTCCTGGCTCCCGCTTTCCGACATTTCAGCTGGGCCCCTGTCTGTCTGGCTAGGCTCGTGCCGTGCGCTCTGTCGCACCGCGCTGCTTCCAGCCTCGGCGATGAAACCGAGGGAAGGTAGGGGTGGAGCGGGGTGGGGTGGGGAGGGGAGGGGGGTGCAGGGCGAGGGGGGGTGGGGGTGGGTGGGGAGGCGTGTCGATCCCACGATCGACTGTGACGATGCCGAGCTGAGTATCGGATCGGGTAACAGCCTGACTGAACCAAGGCCTTTTACTTCCAGGACTCTGTCTCTGATCTTGTGTGTCTGACATCTTGAATATTATAGTTTATTCCTGCGTACATTGCATTTGAACGATGCAAATAATGCTGAGTTAGTTTCCACAACTCTAAATGAGTTGATCGGATTGCCATCTGTGTTTTTTCCAATGGAAACGGGGTATAATTGAGCTCCTGCTTGCATACTAATCTTTGAGTTTGGATGTAATGACACGGTAAAATTGTGTTTGTTCTATTTGATCTGAAGCCTTGGTTGCAGCTTTGTCGGTTTTAATTGGTTGGCACTGGTAAATTAGACAATTTTACTATTTATTCTTTATCAGTGTAAACATTTAAAGCCACCATGAGTTCACAACACACACGTATGTCTACTGTCTAACAAACATTTGTGTTTTTCCATCAGTATGATTTTTGGATTTTTGGTGGACCCAGGGCACAGAATGGACCGACTTCACCTGCTCTGAATTTAGTGTGTTGTGTCAGCAGTGGATTTGTCATGTGAAACTGACATTTTACATCACAAAAGTATATTGCCCCCCCAAAGGTATTGTCCTCGTTCCACCGCTCGTAAACAATAAAGTTGGCATGGTTAGTCACAAAGGAATTCAGCCTTTGTTTCGTCACATGACCTTGACATCTGGAAACAGCAGCAGGATGTTGCAACTTAAAATTCCATGGACACTTTTGGATTTTCTGTCCTAATAGTTTGCATTTCAAAATCAAACAGTGACATCTGTCATATGTTTGCTTGTATACAGTAAGAATTTGGACCTTAACACCACAAAGATAGGCAAAATAAATATAACTATATATAACTTCTATGAAAACACAACAGGAAACTTCAGCTTCTGGAGCTTCTTAGCTGGAGTTTCCAGTAGATTAGAGTGAGTTATTTAGAGCCATCTAGTGGTTATTCTTAATACATGTAAGATCTATCTATCTATCTATCTATCTATCTATCTATCTATCTATCTATC